AACCCGTGGACTCAGGCAATCCACTCACCTCAGCCTCTCAAAGGCACGGGATTACAGGCTGAGCCACCGAGTCCAGCTACCTGCTTCCCTTCATGAAGTTTCTGAGGGTTGGACAGGAACTACCTCAGCTTGGCAGGTGCCTGTCTGAGGCCCTCAGTTTGTGAGTAAAGCACTAAGCTCCCATGCCCTACCATCTGTTCTGGTGTACCTGTTGTAGACCAGGTGTGCCCTGGGTGTGGCCACGATGCTCTGCTCCTGAGCCCATGTAGCACCGTACCTGCAGCTGCGTCAGGCTGACAGGCCTGGCAAGTGGCTGCCAGCTGATTTGTAGAGGACAGCAGGGATCAGATGGACAGGGAAATGGGCTCTGCAGGGTATCGAGGGGTGGGGCCTGGGGGAGGCTGCCCAGCCAGCATCACATGGTCCGGCTGTACTCGATGCTGCCCTTGGTGGAGATGCCTGACCATGGCAGGAAGCTGCAGAGCAGGCTGTGGGCCTGGCGATACACCCTGTGTGGGATGGAGCAGGGGCTCAGGCTGGCTAGCGCAGAGCCCAGGTGCTGGATGTAGTCCGTGCAGCTCTGTTAAGGAATACATTGACAGGTCCTTGTCTGTCCTGCCTGCCTGGGCACACCATGGGATGGTCCTTAGGCACGCCACAATCAAGGGAGGCTGAGATCACCAAGCTTCTGTGGAGCGTTGGAAAGGCTCACTAGACAGAGAGGTCTCTGCTGTGTTAAATAAAGGGCCAGGCCTGGGGTCAGGAGGGCCTTGTAGGTGAGGCCTCAGGCATGAAGACACCCACATTAAGGGACAGACAGGGAGTTGGGGAGGAGCCTGGCAGAAGATCAAGTGTTTCTGGTTCTCCCCAGACTCTCTCAAACCTCAGGGCAGCAGGAAGGACAACCCCATTCCTACAACAAGTGAGGGTCAACAGAACTGACTCCCTGGATGCCCACAGGGGCTCGACTTCACATAAGCTAGAAAAGCCTATTGGGTTTCAGAGCACCTCTCTATTTTGTTTATTTCTCTATGTGTGAATAAACGCTACACTCTTGCATTCAAACACACACAAACACAGGATTTGTTGGGGCCAGACTCTATGGCTATGATGAAGTTTCCTATCTTCCCTCCTATCTGGTACCTATCAAGGGCCAGAGCTAAAGAGAAGGGAGCAGGCAAGGGGTACATCTTTGGGTCATGCACCCCATCAGAAGGGTTTGAACCCAGGTGTTTCCCCTCTGTTAACAGAGACTCCACGAGGGCAGGGGCTTATGTCTGCTCCATACTCTGCTGATCCCCAGTGCACTCAGAAGAGGAGGCTCTCAATCAGTATCTGTTCAAGTTATAGATGGGTGGATGGATGGTCCTTGGGACAAGAGGGTTAAAATCTGTCCTGCAGCCAGGTTGAAGTATGGGGAACACTGAGTGCCAGAGCGCACCTTCCCTCCTAATGCATGCAACCAGATCTCTCATAGCATGATCTGAGCTGATCAGGGAAAATGTATCCATAAGCTTGGCCACCTGAGCAGCATCTGAAGGTGACCCCAGATTCAACTAGCTCACTAGTTCTGTCACCCTACGGCCAGGAAGCCATAGTCCTTTAGCCCCCAGAGTAAAGGATATAAGATTGTCCAGGGAGGGTGGCCGCCATTGATGTAGAGCACATAGGTGAAGCCATCTTTAAGGACCCCTCGGATGGAGTAGTAATAGGGGAGATAGTGATGCTGCTTAAAGTCTCTGTTTTCGTAGAAGTTTATTGCTGTGTTGTTGGTGGTGAGAACATGCAGGTAGATGGCTTTGCAGTGGTCCTGGGCGGTGGTTGATATGTGATCCTTTAAACTTTCAAGTAACAGGGAACCTGGGGAGAAGAGATAAAGATTATGTAGGCTGGGCAGTTAAATGGGAAGGAAGACACAGGTAAGGATGGGACCTCTGCAGATACCCCCCCTAAGACCTCACTGCCCACTGTGAGAGACCAGCCTCCCGTCCCTACTCACTGTCAAAGTCCCTAAAATCTCACAGCCACATGGAGCTTGTTAGCTGCAGGTCACTGGCTGGGACGATAGACGGTCTTGGCAGCGCCCACCCCTGGGCTGGACCCTCCATGGAGACTTTCAGATAATACAAAGGTAAACTTGAACCAAGGAAAACATGGAATAGGCAGGCCTGGGTTAAAAAATTAATGAAGACTCTGCCGGTCATTGGCTGTGAGGCCGAGTGGGATGGAAACAGGACAACATGAGCATCCAATAGCCGGCGGCAAGTACTGCCTCTTCATTTATGCTCATGCTTTCTACTCTAAATCAAGACTATCTTGCGAGCAGATGTGAGCTGTGTGTGGTGGCAGGAGGGATGAGAAAGGGCCATTCCCCATGAGGGCATCCCAGAAGCCAAACAAGGCTAACACAGAAAGGCCCGAGGACGTGTGGAAAGAGGATGGCTGAAGGAGAACAGATGTGCCAGCGGGGGTGGGGCGGGGGAGACAAAGGTCTGACCCAAGATGGAGACAAGGATGAGGGAAGAACTTGAGGGGGATTCATGAGCCAGAACTGGCAGGACGAGGAAAGTGACTGGGCCTGGGGGCGGGGGGGATGTGTGCATGTCAAGCCACGAGCTCCGCTGCCCCTTACCTATGCCGTGCTTCCTGAATTCTTTCACTACCCCCAGACTCAGAATGTACGCAACTTGCGTGTCAACAGAGAAGTTGGAGGCTAGAATATCTCCATCCTAAAGGAAAAGTTAGAGATAAAGTCAGGTTAACACTCGAAGTGCATAGGCCCACTGCGCAGTAGAGCCCAGGGGGGCTACACACCAACTCCCTGGCTACAACATGCGGAAGGACATGGGTGGGAGGGCAGAACCAAGAGACAATGGAGAGTCAGCCCCACCTCCATGGAAACAAGAGGGTTTGGGCCTCAAATAAGAACACACAAAAAGGCAGCTTCTTTTGAAGATGGGTAGGTACCCTGGCCAAGGACAGGAAGGGCACTTGGATGCCAGAAGAAGGTAAACATTATGATAAAAAGGGGGTGACTACACCATACCTCATGGGCATCTATTGGAAAGGAAGTACCTGTCCACAGACACCTAGAGGCCAGATAAATACAAAGCTTTAAGGTTCAGTTAAAGAGTACATACTATCCCCAGGTGGTCTTGGAGGAGGGGAATGCGGTTGGCTGTCCACACCTTCTGCTACACCCAGCAGGCAGGCAGCACACCATTCCATGTGTGTCTGTTGGTTTCAGAGGTGGAATTCTGGGTGGGAGGCATAAACCCAACCACCACAATGTTCTTATGTTCTTCCAACTCGTAAAGAACAAGAAGGATCTGCCATGGGTGTGGTTTTCCTCCCAAGATAAGGACTCTGAAAGACTTGGCCTTTCTGCTCCCTGCTCTCCCAGGTCCCATGTAGACCCCCAAGTTCACCCAGACACATCAGTACAGGGAGGAAGGCATCCTTGTTACTCTTGTTACTCGAGGCCCGCAGGAAGGGTGTTTGTTCCCCAGCTGACATCTTTTCACAGGCCCTGCTTTGCCCTAGTGTTGAATTCAACAGCCTCTCAGGAAGGCCCAAGTGAGTGCTGGGGTACAGGGGCTTCCTCTCCTGAGAGCTGGGAGCACAAGCAAAAGCCTGTGCTTCCCCAGGAAGCACAAACACATTCAAAAGGAGCACAGAGATCCAGTCACCTCGCTAGGTGCGTTGCAGAGTCACCCAGGAGCACTCAGGAAACAGAGGGGGTTTTGGAGAAAAAGTCACAGTGGGGGTGTTGGAGGATGAGTGGGCCCATGTGTCCCATGCAAGAGGAAAGATCAAAAGGATGTTGACACTTGCTTTCTTTCTACTACATCTTAACACCGAAAATGAAAGAAAAAAGCTCAGGAGGAAGCTAGGACAGGAAGTGACTCTTATAAGAAAACGAGCTGTACCAGAATATGATCACAAGCAAAATGGGGTAGACTTTAGTGGACCTGGGTCCTTAAAAGGGAGAGATAGCTCTTCTCGCACTTTTAAAGAAGTAACCTCAAGCCAAATAAACAGAACTACCCTCCAGTTGTTGGTAGTTTTTTTCTCCTTCCTTGGAGTAAATCCCCAAGGATTTACACTAGTTGCTGAAATGACCAAAATATTAGGCAGAATTTTGACCAAAGCCAACCACATGGAACAATACATTTGTGGTCATGGCCTTACAGTTTACATTTAAAGTAGGGTTTTCCAGTCCCAGGTTACAGGAGGAGTACACAGAATCCCAAGGGGTCCACAGACAGATCTCGGAGGGGGTCTGTGAAGTTGGATGAAAAGAAATGGTATCTTTTTTTCCCCTAACCTCTAACCGAAACCTAGTATTTCCTTCAACAAACCCACGCGTAGTAGTAGTTTCTATGACACCACCCCCAGTACAAGTCATGGGTATTTTTGTATCACATTATAGCTGTGCAGATTCTCGAGGTATCACTTGTGTTCCTCCCAACTTCAAAACAACAGTGGCAACTGATGTTGCCTGCTCTGCTGCCAGGCCTTAGTTACTTAGTGCACAAATGAAGGCACATGGGTCACAATATCAAGTGCACAGAGAAAGGTATCAGCTGGGGACAAGTCTCAATGGCCACTAGGATTCCTCAGGTCAGCGGTTCCTTAGACAGGGGGCCACAGAGCAGGTGCTGTGATTGATGCAAGCCCCCATGGCCCCATCCAGTGACAGTGACTGCCAGGTCATCACTGCACACACGTACCTCTTTATGTATCTTAGTCCTGTTTTTAATTTCAGCTACTATCATTCCCACGATGGCACCTCTGTAGGTTGCAGCAAGAGAAAAGAACTTCTTGTTGGATGTGATATCACGATACCAGGAGTCTGGGTACCTGTGAAAGAGAACACAGGTGAAGCTGCCAAAGGTTAAGCCCAACTAATGCCATGCTTTGGACATCAGAACCGCAGAGGCTCCAGGCAGTTAAGGAGTTTGTTCATTGCTTAGTCTCTACCTAATTGCTGCAGTTGTCGTCTTAAAGGAGTCACCTGTCCAGATAGGACTGGGAATTTCTGATGGGAAAAATAATTTTACAAGACATAAAATATGAGAGGGAGGAAAAAACTCCAACGAACTCGTCTCCACAAGAGCAGTTTATAGAGGGTAAGCAAAAGGCAGCACATTCCTCAGCCAGGAGAGTTAAGACCCTAGGACCCTTGGTAGCCTATGGATGAATTCTGTGAGACTTTTTGATACTGAAGGCCAGGAGAGTGATTCTAGGAAGAGACAGGTTTACAGCTGGGTGGCACTTGAGTTTATGACACTTCCTGGACAAGGAGGAATCTGCCCTCAAGGACAATGTCTAGCAAGGCCTGCTCAGGGCTGCTCTCAAGAACAAGGTCAAGATCCCTCCGAGGAGAGCAGGGAAGAGAAAAGTTGGTGCAAAGACCCAGGAGAGATTGGGAACAGACAATCCAGCCATAGCCTCAGACACATCAGGAAGGCTGAGTCACTCAGGGTTCAGGAGTGTGTGAGTTTTGTTTGGCCACTTCATGGCCCAGTGTGATTATAGTTCATGCCACTGTCTTGGGAACCTGAGGTCTCAGGCCCACAAAGCTTCAAGGCAAGGCGGGCAGGCTGGGCATCTCAAGAGGCAGTGGCTCCACAGGGAGGTCAGATTTACATACTCACTGGTGCTTTTATTTCTCTGGGTTAGTTTCCAGCAGTGGGACTGCTGGGTTTAAGTAGAGTTTTTAACTTACAAAGTCGCTGCGAGTTCACATCCCCAGAAGGCTATGATGGCTCCTACTTCCACAGAGATGCACAGGAGGCACCTCCTCCACCCTCCTGCCTGCAGCATGAGGTTACACAAGTCTGAGATTCAAGACTCATGGAAATACTAATGGCTCTCAGGACCATCAATTTGTATTTTCAATTTGTAAAAGTTTGTACCTACTTTTCTCATTACAAGATCTATGTGTGCTATCACAGAAAAACGTAGGAAATATAGAAAAAAACCCAAACAAATAGAAAATTGCAGGAACTAATGATCTACCTACCTCAAACTACTGAAAACACGTTGTTAGGCCAGGCTCGGTGGCTCAGCCTGTAATCCCAGCACTTTGGGAGGCCGAGGTGAGTGGATTGCTTGAGCCCGCGGGTTCGAGACCCGCCTGGGCAACTTGACGAGACCTCATCTCTACAATAAATCAAAAATTAGCCGGGCGTGGTAGTGCACGCCTGCAGTTCCAGCTACTTGAAAGGCTGAGGCGGAAGGATCACCGGAGCCCAGCAGGTCGAGGTTGCAGTGGCCGGGAGTGGCCACTGCACTCCAGTCTGAGTGACAGAGTGAGACTCCAACTCAAAAAAAAGAAAACACTTTGTTATATGTACATACCCTCGTAAACTTTAAGATTATATATTTTTAAAAATAAAGATAGGGTTGTGGCACATATTTGTTTTCCTTTATTTTTTTTGAGTTGGAGTCTCACTCTGTTGCTCAGGCTGGAGTGCAGTGGCAAACTCATGGCTACCCCAGTGTTGACCTGCTAGGCTCTAGCAATCCTTCCACCTCAGCATTTCAAGTAGCTGGAACTAAAGGTGCACGCTACCATGCCCAGCTAGTTTTTTATTTATTATAGAGACAAGGTCTTACCAAGTTGCTTGGGCTGGTCTCAAACTCATGGGCTCAAGCAATCCACTCGCCTCAGCCTCCCAAAGTGCTAGAATTTCAGGCTGAGCCACCGAGCCTGGCCCATATTTGTTTTCTAGTCTGCTTTTTTCCTTCAATATCTTGTTACAAAATTCCCTGTCAACAAATATACCTCTCTTTTTTTTGAGTTGGCATCTCACTCTGTTACCCAGGCAGTGCACGCTCCTGGCCACTGCAGCCTCGACCTGCTGGGCTCAGGAGTTCCTTCTGCCTTAGCCTTCCAAGTAGCTAGAACCACAGGCACGTGCCACTATACCTGGCTAATTTTTTTATTTATTGTAGAGATGAGGTCTTGCCAAGTTGCCCAGGTTGGTCTCAAACCCCCGGGTTCAGGCAATCCTCTCACCCTGGCCTCCCAAAGTGCTGGGATTATAGGCGTGAGCCACCGTGCCCAGCCTCAAATACACCTCTTTGACAGATTTTTTTTTCCTGGCTGAGTAAAATTGTAAGTATGTTTGCACATATGCTAATGCATGTAACCAATTTCTTACTGTTGAGATACTTAAGATGCTTCCAAATTTTCTGGATTATAAATAGCATGGCACTGGACAACTTTGTAACTGAAGTTTCTCAGCAGAGCCTTTTGGGGAACTCAGCACATGAGGAATGTGGTGAGGTGGGAAAAAAAAGCCCAGAGCAGACAGGAGCAGTGGTCTGGGGTCCACTGACATGCTGGGTGACTCTGGACTCCTGCTGTCCCTTCAGGTCCCTCCTCACCTTTGTGGTGTGGCCCCAGGGACCAGAGGCCTCTCCCAGCATCAGCACCTGTGGATTCTCCCCCACCCTGCAATCTGCAGCTGGGGATATGTGCGCCACTCCACTTACTCAATGGGGAACCAGTCACTGCACAGGTGCTTCACGGTGTCTATGTCATCGTGGCAAAGGAGGCGCAGGCTGACCTCGCTGAGGGCGCTGGATGGCACCACTTCTGTCATTCACACCTGCAGGGAAAGGGGGGCAATGTCACTACACAACCTGGTTCTCCTCACACTTGCCTTGTGAGGCAGGCAAGAGAGCAGTGAATGTCCCTTGGTCATCACGCGGAGGCTTTTGCTCCCAAGACTGGCCCATGCACCAGGTATCACATTGCCCTCCACTCTGCAGATGAGGCGACTGAGGCATAGGAGGGCAGTACAGGACAGAGACCCAGGCCCCCTCACTGGTCTCACGTCACAGGACTGTGGTTCCTCTGCTTTGGAAAGCACATTAGGCCCAGTGGGCTGGGCTTCTCCCATCCCTGGGCCTGGTGGCTGCCAAAGACAGATGAAGGCTCAAGCAATCCTCTCACCCTGGCCTCCCAAAGTGCTGGGATTATAGGAGTGAGCCACCACGCCCAGCATCAAATACACCTCTTTGACAGATTTTTTTTTGCTGGCTGAGTAAGATTGTAAGTATGTTTGCACATACGCTAATGCATGTAATCAATTTCCTACTGTTAAGATACTTAAGATGCTTCCAAATTTTCTGGATTATAAATAGCATGGCACTGGACATCTTTGTAACTGAAGTTTCTCAGTAGAGCCTTTTGGGGAACTCAGCACATGAGGAATGTGGTGAGGTGGGGAAAAAAAGCCCACAGCAGACAAGGGCAGACAGGAGCTGCTTGTTGTTCTCCTCCCAAGCAGCCTGGTAGCTGGGGGCCAGTGAATAGCTGGATTTCCAGGGGAAGTGGCATTGGCTTTATCATCAAAGGGTGAGTCTATGCTGGAGGGTCACCCCTGATTTCTCCTCCCCTATCCAGCAGGTGAAGACTCCTGTGCAGAAAGAGATTTCGAGAAACACCACAGTTCAAGTCAGGGGTCATGAGTTGCCAAGGGCTCTTTTAAATTGGGAAAGTATATTCAATCCAGGGTACAGAGGGAGCAGCCACCCTTGTTTTGTTGAACAAGGGAGGAAGAAGGGAGGCAGGGAGAGAGGGAGGCCAGTGCTGGGCTCTGAGAAGGGGGAAACAGAGGCCTTTTTGTCTTGAAGTTGAAAGCTGGCATTCACCCTGCCTTTTCAGGAAGAATTGTGTAGTTCATCTCTACTGACTGAGGAAAAGTCCTGTTTTACAGAATGACAGCTCATCAAAGCAGAATGACAGAACTAGAAAGTCACCATTTTGGAACCACCAATGCAAACACACGAGTCAAGCAAGAACCATGAAGGGCTGCTAAAGCAACTGGGGAAGATGTTGGGAAGCAGGTGCAAGGCATGGGGGCAGAGACCCCCACTCCTAGGACTACTGGTTGCCAAGGGAAGACCTGATCTTCCTGTGGCGAGACCTGGCAGTCACCACATCATCTGGTGACCCGATCTCTCTGAGTTTCTGCACCTCCAGCTGCCAAGGGTGGGAAGTACCTAAGGCTGTCCTCGGTGCTGCTTCCTTGAGATTCTGCTCAACCTTCCCTTCCCTACCAACAGGGGAGAATCTGGATGCTGAATCTGGCCTCTCCGCTGGCTTAGCCTCAGCTAATCAAACTCTCGGCGCATCCCTTGTGGAAGGGAGAAGGCCAGGCCATTCTAAGGCAGTTATGCACCGAAGCGCCGAGACAGCTGGCAAAAAGGAGGTACCCATCTACACTGGATGCTAGTGCCCACCAGCCAATGCCCAGCATTCCAGCCACTTCTAGGGACATCACCTTGATCTTTAACAGGGCCCACAATGATGTCCTAAGCAACTTTGCCTGGATTCCTAGTGTGTGTTTTCTCAGCTCCTGGTTCAATGTCAGAGGCACCAACTAGTTCAGGATCATCATCAGAAAAGAATTTCTCTATAGTCTTTACCACCCCAACCCCAGCCCTTGAACTCCCAGTGTTCTGAATCCATGCACTCAGATAGTTTAAAAAATTGTTATCTGGCAAAAAACAGAGAAACAAAACCTCTAAAGGTGACAAATAAAGGTGCTAATCTTGTCAGATACAAGAATAGCACTGGGGTCAGGTACAAAAATGTCTGTATTTTATATTAAGAGAGGCACACTGGATATTCAGGGACAAAAATGACAGAATGTTCCAGAATTTAGTTTAATTTAGTTGAAGCAAAAGTGGTAAAATGTTAAGAGTTGAGTCTGAATGCTGGGTATGTCACGTGAATGCTTGAAAATGTTCCTAATTAAAACAACCAACCAAACTTCTAATCACCAGAGAGACGGGGTTTCAGATATGGATGACAGGTTTTCCAGGTGACAGAATGAAAATCCTCTGGCATCAGCATCAGGAGCTCTGAAAGCTGTGCCTTGTGCTGCAGACACTGTAGGCTGGGGGTACACATCACTGGGAATAGCGAGTCCTAAATGCTGGCATGCTGACTTGCAACTGAATCCCAGAGGATTTATTTGTCAGCAGAGGGAATGTCACTTGGTGCCCAAGTTAGCCCTCAAACTGCACTAAGGTTTCAAAGACCAGCAGGATACCAAGCGTGTAGCTTGGGACCAGGGTCCCGTGTCTTCAGGAGGCCAGCTAAGGGCAGACTCCTCTCATCCTTCCCCTCAGGGTCAAGAAAACTGGCAAACTCAGAAAGTCTTTACTCAAATTTCGAGACTCTGGGACAAAGTCAATAATCCCACACCATCCAAGGCTGAAGCAAAGGTCAGTTCCTCGATTCAGCCTTTAAAGAGATGGCTCCTGAGATAAGGGGTACAGCATATGTCCTTCTCCCCACTGCAAAAACCTGTAGATGGCCAGCACAGGGTGAAATGACTGCCCACCTCATGACCCCAGACAGAGCTCCAGATGTCCCATCGCTGGGCCCTCCTGGTTTCTAAGCTTCCACAGGCCAGCTGCCTCTGAATAGGATACCACCGCCTCTCACCACAGAGGGCAAGATGGGCACATGTGACCGTGGCTGGCTGGCAGAGCCAGGGTCTGGGGTGGTACAGGTAGACCCACCTGAGAGCCGGGCCACAGGAAGCAGAGTTGGCAAGAAGGCTAGGGGCAGGGAGGTAACTTTCTGAGGGGATGAAAATGTTCCATATCTTTTTGTTGTTGTTATTTTTATTTGTTCCATATCTTGATTGTGGTTGTGGCAGTTACACACACACACACACACACACACACACACACACGTGTGCACGTGCACCCACGTGCGCACATACACATACATGTCAAAACTCACTGAAGTGTACACTTAAAATGGCTGCATTATATTCTACATATGTATACTGAGCTTCAGTAAAGTTGATTTTAAAAGATTTTTAAAAATCTATATATTGTGGATTGATAGCAAAGGAAGAGACCCATAATAAATCTGCATCTCTTCTGACCTGGGATCGCACATTTTCCCCCCAGTATCCTTGAGACAAGGCTCTTGACCAAGAAGGCAGCATTTGTTCCTGGTTCAACTTTCAAGAAAAATCCCATGCTCGGAGATACACAACTCTTTGTGGATACTTGAATACCTGCTAAAAGTACTTCCATGTTTCCTAAGGCTGGTTCTTTAGATGCCTCAATTTAAAAATAGAAACATTTCACATCTAACTAAGCACATTACAGGGCCTAATCTGTCCCAGCCCAATGGGTAGGTGGTGGAAGAGAGGCAAGATGGTACAAGGAAGAGAGAATCTGGCTGCTCGTGTGCCTCTGAAAGAGAAAAATGATATTGAAGAGAATGGCTAGCAGGGCCACCACAGGGGAGGAAGCAAGGGGGCCCACATGTGTGACGCCACTGATCTTCCATCCTATGGAGTCAGGCCATGAGGCACAGCGATGCCCATGACAGGCACTGCCGCAGGTGAGGCAGCTGAGGCCAGAAGGATGGAGTGACTGAGGCTCATAATCCCTGAGCACTGGCTAGGTTGGATGGCTTCACATGCCACCTGCCTGAACAAAGCCCCAGTGCTGGCTGGGACCCCATACTTGCCCATCTGGAAGCTTCCATAAAGTACTCATTTCCTATTGCTCTGCAGTCTACCTGGAGGACAGAGGAGCAGGAATCTTGGGAAAAGGGCTCAGCAGGGCAAAGCCAGTGTAGGGGCTCCTCGAGACAGGCACTCTGCTCTGAGCCCTCCAAATGGGGCGGTACCCTGGCTGTGCTTGGGGACAAGGGCATACCAAAGTCGCAGGCACCCAGGCCATCTTTTGGCACTTTCCTAAAAAGGCACACGATGCATCTCTGCTGCAGTAAGCAGGGATGTACTGTGCAGGAGAATGCCAAGTTCACTTGAGTTTTCAAGTTAGAACATGAAGTTTCAAAGGTTCACATTTGCGGTGAGTACTCTTCCCTGGATGTGCTGGGTCTACAACCCTGTCCTTTGAGTTCAAGACGTGGGTGGGAGAAAAGATTCCAGGAGAGGTAGACACTGATCCACCAAGACCCAACAAAGGGCCTGTGCCTTTCTCTCTCCTCCAACCTTGTCCTCCTGAGGCCACTGGTGAATCTCATCTTCCCTTTGCACTGAAATGACCCCCGTAGCCCCTGTTCTGAAGGCTGCTTTCCACTGAGACTTGTAATGGTGGGAAGGGGCTGGCAGTGCCTGGGTTGGCAGGGCCTGGCTGGACCCTCTCACCAACAACACTTCCTGAGAGCCCCCACTTACTCAACCCACAAGGACATGGAGCGAAACTGGAGGAGGGGCTGCCAAGACATTCCTGATATCCACAGGTGCATTTGCTGACCCTCAACCCCCACTGCTGAGTGCTGGGGAATTCAAGAGCCAGGGGGCACGGAATGTGCTGTGTTCCAGTTTCCAGGGGTTTCCTGGCACCCTGATGATGCCTACAGGAGTCAAGCCCCAAGTGAGGCCAGAGACAATCTTATTTCCTAGGGCTTCTCTTCTTGGCAGGCCCTGCACTAGTGCCCTGAGCCTACAGGAGCCTCCTCCTTCTTCAGAGGAGCCGCTTCTAGACCACACAAGCCACACTGCACTTGGACAAACCACCCTGTTCTCTTAATGGCTTGAGAGGTGCTCTGGCCTCTATCCATGACCTCAGGGAGCAGACCCTGGTGTTCAGGTGGCCAGTC